TCAGTCCAGGATAAGGAAGATACTAGTACAGCCAGATAAATATATTCCTTAATTAAAAAAAAAAAATACAGCCCATGCACATCTCTAAGCAAGCACATGCTGCCAGTGATGGTGGAACGATTAAGGAGAGCATAGTACAGGGACCATGGTGGCCAAGGCATCTTTCTCTTACTGATGACTAGGTTAGCCCAGCAATGGCCATGGCAATCAGCACCTTGGCAGCCATCAGGGGTCACTACCAAAGCAATAAAGTGAACAGGTTTTCCAGGGAGCAGTCAGGACTCTACGTGTTTACCTCCAGCTTTCTCAGGAAAGGGACATTCTTGAACATTTTCTTTGGCTGCACAAAATAAAATATGGTTCATGTTTTTTTTGCTTGGAGCTATGGTAAAAACAGGTTGAATTTTTTTAATTATTTTAAAAGAAAACAAATGTTTCTTTATGGTCTATTTTTGTTCCAAATCCAGTAGATTACATTAATAGATGACACATTTTGGTCAAACAGAAAAATCACTCATAAAATTATTTCTCAGTAGGAAGAGGCAGGAGGATAAGGAGTTCAAGACCATCCTCATCCTCAGCTATAAAGTACACTCCAGGCCAGCCTAGGCTACGTGAGACCCTGTCCCCAAAGGATAGGGGGGTATGTGTGTGTGTGTGTGCATGTATGTTTGATCATTCGGTTCACATAGTTGAAAGCACTTGGGAATTCTCTTAAAGTCTTCCGGCCTGAGGGTTTCTGAAAGCATATTAAATGTCCATGCCTTGCCTTACGGCTCTACATGTACCTGTTGCATGACTTATAATCCCACCACCTCCTAAAACTACATGTACTGTCTCCAGAATGTAGCTCGCTTTTCTTCTCCCCCAAGCCCATCAACCTGAAACAGAAGTGAGCTGCATGAGAAGATCTCAACATGTTTTTGTAGTTACAGAAAGAGGGTGTCTACCATTACATCAAAAGAGTTCTGTGTACAATCACCTGAGAGCATGGCAGCGCCCTGGTTCCAGGATAGAATTACTGCCCTGATTCATTCAGCAACAAGGGCATTCCCAGAACCCACCCCCTGCCAGGCCCCTTGGTGCTTTAACACAACCCTTTCTTCCAGGATGCCTGCTCTCCCTGTGCTTTTATCCTGCAGAGGTAATGGGGAGCTTTGTACAGGTCTCTGAATACTCTTTGAATCCTGTCTGTATGGCCCAAGATTACTGTAATTGTCCTGTTGATTCATAGCAGCAGCTGCTTGGGTTTTTTTTTTTTTTTTCCCCAAGTTTCTGCCCTAGAAAACATCTCCTTTATTCTAATTTTTTTAACCCAAGCTGAGAGTTTCTGTTTCTCTGAGGAAGAAAAAAATAAAATCAATGATTAATAATGTACCACCTATGTCAAGAAAAGCTTATTCAATTGTATTACTTTTATTAAATTTTCAGGCTTTTCAGTTAGCTTTGTTTTTTTTTAACTGATTAAATTAGGAGAAAGTAGTATTTATTTAATTACTGCCAATTTTGTCTCCTTCTAATACAGCCTTGAAGCACTTATATTGTAGTTCAGTGTTCTTAGCACTGTCTGAACCAAGGATACCGCTGAGAATTATTAAGGAGCTGTAAGTCTTCCCAGACAAAAAATATAAGTACACACCAAAGTGTACATGTAATTTCATGGTTTATAGATCCTTTGAAATACCAGGTTGACAATCCCTGCCCTCTTGTCATTCACTGATGACACCTTCCACTAAACAGCACACACAGTTTTTCGATTGTTCCCATGCCAGTAAATCTCTCCTCTTTGATTGCAGCTTTTTCACAGTAAGAATTGGTCAGAAATGGCAAACTTTGACCTATTGTTGCACAGGCTGTTAGGAACAACTTGTTAAACAATATAAAACAGATGTTTCATCAGTGGTGGGAACAATGTCTTTTGTTTGGGGCACTTTAAGTAAATTATTCACAGGTAATTTTCCATTCTCACCAACATAATTAAAACTGAAGCCACTGGAAATCAAATGTGCATGGACACATCAAAAAAATCAGTAAATATGGAATAAATCATCATCTCAAAGCGCTGACTTGTAAAAGCTTCTATGACATTTAAGAAATGAGAAAGATAAACTGGGTGTGGGCAGCACACACCTTAAATCCCAGTACTCAGGAAGGTGGAGTCAGGGGGATCTCTTTGAGTTCAAGGCCAGCCAGCCTAGCCCATAAAGTGAGTACCAGGACAATCAGGGCTACACAGAGAAACATCCCAAAAAAAAGAAAAAGAAAGGAAGAAAGAAAGGAAGGAAGGAAGGAAGGAAGGAAGGAAGGAAGGAAGGAAGGAAGAGAATAAAAGAAAGGAAATGAGAAACTTGGAATCGAAATAGAATTCATGGCAAAAGTCATCCATTTGTTGCCATGAAATTAGGAAGGAAAAAAAATCATAACTTGAAGGAATAAAAATCTCCAGACAGTGTGTGCCTAAATCACAGTGTTAAAAAAAATTAATAAAATTTTGAATGCTAAAAAGTAAACAAGGAATTAAGAAATCACATAAGAGAAGAATTCTAACAGGAAATTACTAATTAAAATAATAGTCAAAAGGGGGCCAGTAAGATAGATGACTCAGCAGGTAAAGGTTCTTGCTACCAAGCCTGACAACCTGAGTTTGATCCCCAGAATGTACATAATGGAAGAAGAGAATTGACTCTTATAAGGCATCCTCTGACCTCTACACACTCATCATCGCAAGCATCATCATCCATGGGAAGATGCCAAGGGTGGAGCTGGAAAGCTAAGGCTTTTGAAAGGGACAGTAGCAAGGTATCCTGGCCCTGATCAAGATGAGGACACATGGATAGTGAAGGAGAGGCATCAGCCAGGGATGTGAGGCATGTGTAATGGGAAGAACATATTCCAAACAGGAGAGCATGGAATCTAAACTCCTAGACTAATATAGCCAGGGTGGCAGCCACAGCCCCTGGACAGGTGAGAAGACCAGGAAGCACGTGAGACAATGAGCAAGGATGGATCCTAAACCCAAGGGCCAGATACTCCCCAAGGCAAAGATAAGAGGGTAAACAATGACACCCAGCTCTGACTTCACCTGTGACACCAGGCAGGTCACACGTCTCTCTAAGGCACCATCTCTCCCTGTGATCTCCTTGTGTCTTGACAGCTGTCATAAAAGTATGCTGAGCAGCTTCCCCATAGGGAAATGACAGCACTACGGTTGCAACAGGTATTCAAAACTTCCCAGAAGAAATCTTGGGTTTCCTGCCTGAACTTACAGATGTGACATTAGGAACGTGATTTGGCACAACAGGTAAAAGTTGAAATTGCCTTTAAAAAAAAAAAAAAAAAAAAAAAGCCAAGATCCCTCTATTATGTATCTATGGATGCCCTAGAACTGACTGTGGAGATCAGCCCTCAGACTCGCAGATATCCACCTGCCTCTACCTGAGTGCTGGGATTAAAGGCATGTGCCACCATATCTAGCTTGAATTCTTATGTTATAGGTAAGAAACAGCTTCCACAAGTCCAGAGGAATTCTGGCTTTGGATTGCTAACGTAAATCTTTGTCCCCTGATATAAAGAGTCTATTTGATATGGTTCGCTGAATTAACATTTGAGTTTTGAAAAGTCAATCCAGCCCCCAACATATATACATATATATATACATATACGTACATACATATATATATGTATATGTGTATATATATACATATATATATATATGCAGAAAGAAAAAGAGAGAGAGAGAGCTAGGAAACCTCTCTAGATCCTCCCAAGGAAAACATGAGGTGCCAACCCCATTAACTAATGATCCATCCAGTCACTTAAAGTTCATTTTAAGGGTTATTATTTACTTCCTTATGATCATAAAAATACCTATTTTTCTAAACTACAAACTGTAGCCTCTTGGCTCTTGTTACTTAAATGAATTTATAGTACATTTTCCAGTCAGGTAATACTGTATGGTTTAATTCCTAAATGACTTGGGTATGATTAGTTTTTGTGTTATGTAATTAGCTGAAATGTCATTATCTGACCATATTGTATGACACTGCAGTGATGTCAATGACAAAAAAAAAAAAAAAATCTGTAAATGTATAAAGCATACAATATATCCTACAGGAGATGCTATACCAGTCCACATTTATATTTAAGTCCAACCAAAAACCTAAAGGCAATCACTGAGCAGCATATAGAAAACAAAGAGTAAAACACTAAGCATTCTAAGTCAGTGATTCTCTTATGAACATACATTGTGGTATATGGTTTCCCAAACTGAAACATTCAAGAGGCCCATTTCAAAACTGGAAGAAAAATATAAATATTGATCTCCATGTAATAAACTTAATACTGTAAATCATTTTTCTTATATGCTCAGAGTTTAAGAGGAAAAAGTCTACATGACAAAATACATACATACATACATACATATATATATATATATATATATATATATATTGAGCAGGACCTCATGTAAAATAAACACTGCAGGCTAATACTGAATGTCTGCCCACATCCTGTCATAGCAGGTAATTCTATAACTGCTCATCCATGGGTCTCACTTGGTTATTAACTCTACTGAGATGGCGTTCAACAAATATGCAAAATTTTCCATCTTGACCAAACAAAACCTGGTTATGTGCCCAATGAGGCCCTTCACCACCCCATAATACATCTACAAGCAGATCTGAAGGCTTTGGAAAAATTATCCTATGAGGGAATCTAATAGAAACTCATTAACAACCTAAAAGGCTGTGCCCCTTTCTTAGATCACAATTGCAATGACTTCATTCAGCTCATATTGCAGTTGTCCCAAAGAAAGAAAGAGGTTAACATGTCCTTTGTGGTATAACCAGCAGGATCGATTTCAACTTCTAGGTGAACTCTCACAAATTTCTATAGATCTAAATCCCCTGATTAAGTAGTGTGTGTACAAAACAATCCCACTGGGCAGCTTTCCTGGCTTAAACATTTTAATTCCAAAACATAAACAACTCTAGAATACTCACTTTTAGTTTCTTGTTTAGTTTACAGCAGTATCTGTACACCATTGCCAAGTTCAGAGGTCCAAAATCTGCATAGAAACTGAGATATATACATATATAAAATAGCATTTAGTATAAGTGCAGTTTTCAATAACATAGATGCTCACTTTTAATTTCACCTAATTTGTAACCAAATTTCAGTTATCTTCAGGAATAGGTTCATTACCTAAGTAGTCTGGTTCGTGCCAATCCAGGTGCCTCACAGCTCCACCCTACAGTGTCCTACAGTTGTTCTAACCAACCTCTTGATAGAGAACTATCTGGGCAATTTTAAGTTCTTTTAACTCCTTGCTGTGCCATTTAGATGAAAGGATTGAAAAGCAATCAAGGGGAAAGGCAATGTGAGTTAACTCGTATGGAACCCACTCTTTCTTGCTTTTACTTCTTCACTGACTATCATAAAGCTCATGAACTCTTCAAGTCCATGTCTTCCATTCAAACCCCCTCAGCCCTCATCTATCCCAAGTGCAGTGGTCCTTTTTCCTGTCCATCCTTCTTAAACGTCCTGTATCATCAGACACATTGGCTCCCCTTCTCTCCCCTCACATCTCCAGAATATAGTCATCAACCTGTCATGTGTCTCATTGGTGACCTAGTCGGAAAGCATGCTCTTGTCCACCTCTGACCCAGCACTGGTTTTCACCATCGGCTTCCTACTAGACCTTCTACAGGCCTTCCAACACCTCAAACTCACTGTGCCTACTACAACCATCTTTCCTTCTAAATAGCCCTAAGCTTTTCTGAGTCACTGAAGCATTAAACCTCTCAAACACAATAAAGCAAAATCAATTATTATATCAAATGAGCTCCCACTCTCATATAGCCCTCCCTCCCTTTCTGTTCCCATGAAGCCTGACTCATCTTCAGCTTAGTCATGTTCTGCTGGAATTCTAGGTCCCCTGTGATGGAGCATTTCATCATCAGCTCAATCTCATGTCTTTCATCTCCTCCCATTGCTCAAAACTGCTGAGTGCCTCCTCACCACTGAGGATGACCCACCACCCAGCAACCAAAGCTTAGCACACCATGCTCCTAGCTTCCAGGCTGATCCTGTCTCCCAACAGGTCTCCATCAGGATTTTATTCCACAAGATACATCCAACCCTTAACCTCCACTCACTTCACCTACTCCTAATGCAACCACACCACATTGGTCCTCTTATACAGAATACTCTCCCCTCTTGTTACTCTCCTTGGCTTCCTCAAGATGGCCTTAAAATGCAACAGCCATAAAGCCTTTCCATTCACATTTGGGGCACTCTCTAAGATTTGCTCAAAATCCTCAAAACTTACCATTTCAATGATATAGCATCACATATTATGGAGAATTTTGCATGAAAATTCTGCCTAATCAACTGCAACATGAGCTTCCCCATCAAGGAACCTATTTATACCTTACATATTTGGAAGCACATCCTAGATGCAATACAACAAAAAATGAGTCAGATGCAAAAAATGCAGAAATGCTCATTAGTACTCTAAATTCAAACTCAGGCTAGAGCACAAATGTATTAAATACCACCAAGCTTGCAGAAACTTATCTTTGAAACACCTTCTTCCTGAGGAAGACATTTAAATCTTTCTACCGCCCAAATTACATGTCACTTCAACTACAAGACTACCAATACCTACTGGCCTTAGGCAAGTAAAAACTACTGACTTTGTATATGTTATCCATGTTGAACAAGGTAGGAATGTTTGGAATATATAGAACTAAAATTGACTACCTTTATACACAGGGTTCATGAAAACAATAATAACACAAAAGGACCCCAAAAAGGAAACTTCTAATGATTTGAAGTAAAAGTTCTTTATTTCTAAAGTTCCCAGTGTGGTGTTAATTTATTCCTAAAGTTCCCAGTGTGGTACTAGGCTATAAATCTAAACAAGAACCCACTAAAAACCACTAAAATGAGGGCTGGAGGTGTATCTCAGTGGCTCAGCATACACTTAGCACACACAATCATTAGGTTCAACTCCTAACACCATGGGAAGAAATGAGAACTGCCCATAAACAGGTACCTAACTGCACTGGTTAGGGCAACACCATCTTTACAGCAGAGATTTTCTTGTTCTTGAGTTCATTGGAGGCAACACTTTTTTTTTTTTTTTTTTTTTTTTTTTTTGGAAACAAGGTTGTTTTACATGTCAATCCCAGTTCCATCACCCTCCCATCCTCCCCTATCACCACCACCAAACCCCAGCCCAACCCCTTTCGGCTCCCCAGGGAGGGAGATGCCTTGCATAGGGAGTCTTCAAAGTCTGTCATATCATTTGGGGCAGGACCTACTCCCCCCCCCCCATTGTGTCTAGGCTGAGGGAGTATCCCTCTATGGGGGATGGGCTCCCAAAGTCCATTCATATACTAGTGATAAATACTGATCCATTACTAGAGGCCCCCTAGATTGTCCAGTCCTAACTAACACCCACAATCAGGGGGTCTGGGTCAGTCCTATGCTGGTTTCCCAGCTATCAGACTGGGGTGCATAAGCTCCTCCTTGTTCAGGTCAGCTGATTCTGTGGGTTTCTACAACTTGGTCTTGACCCCTTTGCTCGTCACTCCTAACTCTCTGAAACTGGATTCCAGGAGTTCGGCTCAGTGTTTAGCAATGGGTGCCTGCTTCTAATTCTATCAGCTACTGGATGAAGGCTCTAGGATAGCATATAAGGTAGTCATCAATCTCATTATCATGGAAGGGCATTAAAGGTAGCCTCTCCACTATTGCTTAGGTTGTTAGTTGGGTTCATCCTTTTAGATCTCTGAGCATTTCCCTAATGCCAGATTTTTCCTTAAACCTATAATGGCTCCCTCTATTATGGTACCTCTTTTCTTGTTCTCCTCTATTCTTTCCCTGTCTTAATCTTCCTGTTCCCTCATGCCCACCTCTCCACTCCTCCCCTCCTCTTTCTCCTAACTCCCTTTCCCCTCCCTCCATGATCCCAATTTGCATTTTTTGTATCCTGGAAGCAACCTAGATGGCCCTCAACTGAAGAATGGATGGAGAAAATGTGGTACATTTACTCAGCAGAAAAAAACACAATGGAATCCCGAATTTCGCAGGGAAATGGATGGAACTAGAAGAAGCCATCCTGAGTGAGGTAACCTAGTCACAAAAAGACACACACGGTATGTTCTCACTCATATATGGATTTTAGACATAAAGCGAAGGAGTACCAGCCTACATACAGTTCACACCGCCAGAAAAGCTAGGAAACAAGGAGGGCCCTAAGAGAGACATGCATGGTCTCCCTGAGAAGAGGAAAGGGACAAGATCTCCCGGGAGGCAGCACTTTTTAACAAACATGCCTTGGCATCTTTTCTATCGGAACATGCATAAGGACCCTTGTATGATTTTTAATTAAATGTGGGATTTTGGCCATTCTCAGCTTTTGAAATTCACGCTGAACATGTTTCCAAAAAGGGGCAAATTGGAGCTGCAGAGGAAATAATTTAGTGGTTAAGAGTACTGGCTGCTCTTCCAGAAGACCAGGGTTCAATTTGTAGCTTCCACAGGGTGGCTCACACCCTTCTGTAAGTTTAGTCACAGGAAACCCAATACTAACCACTACACATCAACTTTAACTTCATGCTCCAAGCCACACAGCTTAACAATGAAGTCCACTTATATACATTCACTTTTGGAAGCAGGATCATTAACGAACAGAACAATTTTACCAAATTCTAGGAAAGTAAGCAGGTATCCTCCAATAAGACGAAATCAAATAAATCAAATGTGAACCTTACTTTTCCACTGATCTGTATTTTCCAACATGTTAAATAGATGTCAGCTACTTAAAATGACAAAATTTCCGTTTTTGTATCTGAAAACTGAGGACATTTCCCATTAAAATATACTCAAAATCTGCATGTGGCTAAAGACTACTGAACTGGATGTGTGAAGCAATAATGGACAATGCCAATCAAGATGAAAATATAAGATAGGGACAAAAAATGGCCTCCACACATTAAGGAATTGCTAAGCACCAAAACATTGATAAAAATGCTTTCAGTGAGAGATACCAAAAAAAATAAGGGAGGGAAGCAACTTGGAAAGGCATCCTTTATTTGCCCATGAACCACACACACACACACACACACACACACACACTACTTTAATTTAATTTTGTTTTGTTTTGATTTTTGATTTTTAAGACAGGGTTTCTCTGTGTAACAGTCCTGGATGTCCTGCAACTCACTTTGTAGACCAGACTAGCCTTGAACTCAGAAATTTTCCTGCCTCTGCCTCCCAAGTGCTGGGATTAAAGGCACACATCACCACTGCCTGGTTAATTTAATTTTTTTTTTTAAGAAAAAAAAAAAATCTGAAAGTGGAGTAGACTCCTGAATTTATAGTCCAAACACTCATCAGTCAGTGTTTTTCTGTTCTTTCAAATTTCAGCAAAATATCTCCACTCAATGGCAAAAAAAAAAAAAGACCTTCCCCCCCACTTTGTCTTGGTGTAAGGAGACAATATTCCAGCCTCATTTGGGTAGATGGGTATATTATTTCATCTCCAAATGAATGAATAACCAAACCAATCTCCCCACCCAAACATTCATTTCCTCTAACAAAGTTGGCAAATTATAGATCAGTAACTAAAATGAATCCCAAGAAGCTTAGGAAATGAACACCAGGCAACAGTTTTTTAATTCATTAAGTGTAAAGAGCTAAAATCAAATTACTTTGTTTTGACAACAAAGAAATTCAAACCAACTGGAGCATGTGAAGCCCTGCACATGGAGGGTGGCAGGAAGAAGAAGAAGGAAGGCTGTGTCCTTATCAGAGGACAAAGGAAGAGAAGCCCAGGAGTAGAGAAAACATTTTCCAGCGTCACCAGCTACCCACAGGTGCTGAACCCACAGTGCAATAGGAAGTAGAAGCTGAGTCCAGTGGCCACTGCTTATGTTAGCCTGCCCTATTCATCTCACAAGATTGTCAAAACCTAAGGCTTGTCATTATCTTTGGTTTTTCTAGTGAGTTGTAATTTATGAGAGTCTGCTCCTAGGGAAATCACTGTTTGAAGCACCACTGTGCTTATT